GAAGAGGAATGAAGCTTTGGAAATGGGTATAGTGACCCGTCCATTTATCCTTGCTAAATATATTTCGCTTTATGGAACTATCTCTCCTTCAAGAAAGTAGGACGTCGAGGAAAGCTATACTACTGTCTTTCTCTTCCTCGCTGGTGAATTTAATAGCTGGGTGGACGTTATTGAAAAAGTCCTACATCTCCTGTTTGTCAACCATTTCGTCACATACGATTAATGTGTCGTCTATGTATCGACAGTAGCAATCTAGCTTACTTAGGATGTCTTTTAACGGTCCATTTTCCAGTTTGGCCAGAAAAGATGTCAGCAAGGATCGGGCCTAGAGGTGATCCCGTTGCTACTCCATCTACTTGTCTATAAAATTCATTGTTAAACTTAAAGTAGATATTCATAGTACATTTCAACAGGAGTTCTTTCATTTTATATATTGGCATCGGTATCTCTATTTTCTTTTCTAGTGCTTGTTCACATATGTAATCGTTAGTTTCAGTCAGGGGGATGTTAGTGAACAAGGATGCTATGTCTAGTGATAACATGGTTTTACCATTTATATTCATATTTTTTATTGAATCCACAAATTCAAATACGTCGTTAACACTGTGTTTAACCAGTTCTTGGTGCAATGGTCCTATTAAGATATGAATATAAATAGGAAATACATTTTGACAGTCATACTGTGGATTCAGTTCATCAGCAAATGAACCTCTGACCTTTCCTTGCACATATATATATATATATATATATATATATATATATATCATTGGTAATCGTTTATCATTCCAATCCTTTACAATCAATTATGTCTATTGTTCCACACTATTTATTACCCAATGCTAAAATTCTAATATATTTTTGGTTGTAAGCAGCTGATGAGAAACCACGAAATATAATGAAATCATATTATTGTGGATCAGTATTTGTTCTGTCTTTATTTAAATTCATAAAGGGAACTAATTGCATGTAATTTCCCATAGTTTTCTCTAATTATCCAGTTAATGTTGTCACAAGACAAAATACATAAGTAATTCTAAACATTTTACTATATAAAACTATTTCTCCACTATTGAATGTGTCATTAACTAACATTTGTTTCAACTATTGACAAAAGCCTTTTAAGTGGTTAAACGTTACGGTGATTTTTAATTGTAAACTTTGCAACGATTTGCTACCTAGTCTTCCTATGTAGCGATAACTTTAATTTTGCTAAACTATTGTCTGTTAGTAAACACTTATATGGTTCCTAATAATCTATATGACAAACCTTAGAAATATATTGATGAATCTCTGTTTTGCTACCTAAAATTTAATGACGTATTACTGGTTAAAAACTAAACATTTCCCATAAGCAGGTGAACATGTAACACTTTACTGAACAAGTCAAAATATCTCATAGTTATAGATTCACAATACTTTCATACGTTAACCGTTAAAAGCGTAGGACTTGTAAATCGAGAGAACTTGTTACAGATATGTGCTCAAGCCCCACATCAACTAGATGAAGAAAAATAAAATAAAAATAATACTATCCAAAGTAGCGAATGCTGAACATAAATAATATGGTGAGAAAAGAAGAAATAGTAACCAACATTGAAGTATATTAAATTTTATAAGATGTGGGGTAGACATCAGCCCACCATACGGTCAAAATTATGTCGCTAATTTTCACTGAACACATTTAAATTTATATTGTACAACAGAGGTGGATCCTAGTCTCCCTCCAAAATCAAGTGTAGAAATTATTTTATTGATCTCGCTGTCACAACCTACTTTTTCATAATCAAATAAATTATTAAGTGTGGGTTTCCAATGGTTGTCTAAGTTAGATCCGTTCTTGATTTCAATTTATAACTATTAATATTAATGAACCTTACCTATATTACTTGTGTTAGGTATAATTTATTAATGAGAAGTGGCAACGGTCAGACGCCCAATGTACAGCATATCGTTGTCATAGCCCAGTTAACTAAAAATTTCTTTTAAACATTTAATGTTCGGAAGTTAAAATTAATGAGGTACAATCTTATTATAGGTCGTTATCACAAGCTAATATACCAAAACTTTTCAGTTAATGGATAATCGATTTATCATGTGAATGGAATTTATGGTCTGATTTCATTAGCCACATAAACGCTTTTGCTGTAACTCTTTAGAAGTTAACCAATCTATGAAATTGTCTTGTCTGTGATAGAACAGTTCGAAATACTGGTACGGATAAACGTACAACACTCAACCTTGATTAATAAATCACCGAAAGCACATAAACATATACATTTTATCATTATTATGTTATATTATTTCTGAACACATACGAATTATATATCTCATAACTAATACACTAATAAAAATCTTTAGTACACAATTCTAAGAATGGAGAAGAGACTAAGCAAGAACATTCTTTAGAAGACATTAACTAAAACACTTGTAAAAGAACAAAATCACGACACTTTTCCTATCAATCCAGGAAAATACATACAGAATTTATCGAGCAAAAAACTAAGTCGAATTGAAACAGAGGCACTCTTCCTTGGATTCAAATTTCATATTCCGAAAACATGCAACAGAATAGACACCGAGTTGCAGTTCAAGTATTTATATCAACAGCTGTCAAACATTAAACCTATGAACGACGTAAAACAAAGTTGGTTGAAATCAAAATTAGTGGATATTACAAATCAGTATGTTACGACACCAAAACCACAATCAAAAGTATTGACTAAAGATCGCCAGCAAGCATTAAGAAAACTAATGAAAGACGAAACAATATCGCTACTTCGTCCTGACAAGGGTTTCAGTGTTATCATTCTTAACTGAGATGAATACATCAGCAAAGTTATGTCCATTTTAAATGATCCCACTAGATTTATCATCGACAATACCTAGAAAGACTTAAAGGATGCAACTGAGAAGCGTCTTTTAAAAAAGTTGAGAACTGTTGAAGAAAAATCTAATAGATAGTCATATATACAACGAACTCAAACAAAAAGGATCATAATTACCATACTTATACGGCCTACCCAAAATACACAAAACCGACATCCCGATAAGACCAATGATGTCTATGACTAAATCACCCTTTCATAAACCCACCCGCTGACTGACAAGGTGCTTAGAACCAATCTGGAAGAATCTAGCACCCCACAATCTGAAAGATAGTTTTGAATTTGTACAAAAACTTGATAATATAAATGCTTCTGTTAAATTCATGGTCTCATTTGACGTCTCATCGCTTTTCATAAATATCCCCTAGATGAAATGGCAGAGATCATATGTGAATATTCTAAACTTCTACCTTTACCAATCCATGAGTTTAAACAGCTCCTGTTTTTGTGAACAAAAAACATACAATTCAATTTCAACAATATGTTGTACCGTCAAATTTATGGAGTAGCCATGGGTCCGATTGCGGTCGACATATTTATGGGAAACCTTGAACAGAAGCTTAAGCACGTAATCGATGTTACCATGCTCTATCGTCGATACATTGATGAGTTTTTGTTTGCAATAACCACAAACACATCTACTCGGTTTGTTTAATAAAGCATACAAGGTTATAGAATTAATTATGGAACATGAAGTTGAATTCCATTTCCTAGATATTGGAATCAGACGAACATTAGTTAGTACATTACAAAGACACATTCATCGCAAAAGCACCTGGAGTGGGTTATATCTCAATTACTACAGCTTCTGTCCAGTGAGTTACAAAAAGAGTACTGCATGAACCCTCCTAGACCGCGCACGTAAAATCTGCTCAGATGAAAGCCTGAAGAAGAAACTGCTCTAATCACTAAGTGCCTACGTGAAAATGCATATCCGGCGAAATTCATCAACAAATATGCAAACACCAACCATCAGGCAAAGTATGATAGAGTGGACAAGAAAACTTGCTTCATATGCTTACGCTTCAAAGATGAAATTACTGGAATAATTAATCACAGAAATAATTCCGCGTTGAAAGTGACCTACCCAGTAGCAAAACTGACGTCGGTGTGGGAAACGAACTGCTCACTCAAACTAAAATCAACAAGTCCTCTTTGCTCAGTAGCTCCAACTGCATTTACCAATTTACATGTACGTGCCAAAGCACATACATTGGAAGAACAGAGAGAAGAGTAAATATTAGCATTTGTGAGCATGTTACAAAAAAAACAGAGGATGCGATGGAACAGGGATCTCAACATTCTAATAGCACGGCATTTACTTGACACCGGCCAAACCACTGAAATCTTTTATGCTTTCAAAATTATTAGCAGACACAGAAGTGCGGCTTCTCTCCCGTTCACTGAAGCGATCGCGATAAAGATACTTAAACAGGATCTATGTATTCAAAAAGAGAGAGTAATAAACTTATTACTATTCTGGTAGTACAATTTTTTTTGGTCTTTAGTTTGGTTAATATTCATCTTTCATTACCTATTTCTTAAACCATCCTTTCACTCACACATTTCCACTAATTTGATTCTCTTAAATTATGTGAACTTTTCAAATTCCATTCAATTATTACGTAACCCATCCTATTTGTTTTTAATTCCATGAATCCTTTATGTCCTCTAAAATTATCACAATTTATCTTATCCGTTTCTGAACTCCAATCAGTTATTACACCACCCATCCTTTATGTCTCCTTGATTCTAACACTTAATAACCTCAGACCTGTTATTGCATATATACATAGTTATCTTTGATAACCTTTTGCCATTCCAATCCTTCACATCCACTTATGTCAATTGTTCCACATTATGTATTATCACGATGTTAAAATTCTAATACATATTTGGTTGTGAGCATCTGACGAGAAACCAGGAAATATAATGAATTCATATTATTGTGCATAAATATTCGTTCTGGCTTTATTTAAATTCATAAAGGGACTTAATTGCATGGAATCTTTGGAAGTAGTCAGTGAGACTACAATTTATGTGCAACCCTTGAACAAAGCTTAAGTGACCTTGATATATCAGCCAATCAGAAAACAGCTAGTGCACAGTAAAAGTATATTATACAAAACCAAAGAATTAGAGTGGAGAAGCACGCAATACAATAGACACCTTAGGTGCTGCTCGATGACTTAGTCCTCTCTAAGTTTAAGAACAGGTAAATCAAAAGAAACCTGAAGCTGGAATTTAAATGCGGACAATAAGACCGTAAATACTTCTTGACAAAAACTGGGAAGGAGAGTCCAAGATAGGGTTGCTTGGATATTCCTGATTAGCTACTTATGTCCCATGATGGGTAGTAGGCATAAGTAAGTAATCATCAGTTTGTTTAGCATAAGGTTTTAGAATATATCCAAAGACGTTTACCCATTAAAATCCCATGGACAGCTTCAGCATAAAATGTTTCCATTAACATTGAAATTAATATACATTAAATGCTATCTTAAAGGAGTATTCCTACAGTTGCAAAGGTAGTATCAATCATTGATCTATATCACTTTGACGATTAACAGTTTATTTGAACGAATAAATCAATCACGATAAATGAAAGAGAAACAACAGTAAAAAACAACTCTTTACAGGTACGGTAGAAATTTTTTTTTACAGAAAAAGTCTTCGATGAGACCAACAATAACGACGACAATAATCGATGAAATGCCAGAAAATTGATTTTACCCATCCAACTAACCATATATTCTACAATTAAAGAAAAAACACTGAAATCTAGTAAATTCAGAAGTAGAACGATAGGTTATGACAAACTGGATGAATACTTCTCTGTAGTTTTTTTATTAAAAAAAGGAATAATGAAAGGGAGTGAACGACAGTATACTTTCCTCGTCTCACATGCAAATAAACAAAATGTACACAGATACGAAAAAAACATGAGCTGCTCCTTTGTGTTAAACATCAACTAACGAATGGATTGTCAAAAGGTGTAGATATTGTGGGACATTGATTAATTTAAAAAAGCAACAGCAATAATACCAATAGTAATAATGAGTACAAGTTGGAATCTCGAGATGAAATTTAAATAGATTGGTAAGGAAAAAAAGTTAAACGAAAATGATACTACTGCCAACTATGACAGTAGCTACCGGAAAGAGAAGAGGATAAATTATTAGTAATAGACTAGGCACTAATATATATATATATATATATATATATATATATATATATATATATAAACATGCAACTCAACGACATTAGTGGAAAATTATATATACACGTTCAGACACAAACACGGAAATATAAATTTCACAATCACTAAAGTCATCAATGATATAAAAAGGATAGGATGGTAAGGTAAAAAGAAAGTATGAGTAAACAGGATTATAGGTTGAAAATCGAACTACTGTTATATAAACGGTGTAGAACGTAAAAGCAGTAAATGTGAAAGACCAAATAAAAATATACAGATATGGTATTATTATAATAATGATTACATAAAACTAATACATGTTATGTATAATTATATAAAAACGAAAGAATATGGAATGTCACTAGTGTGTATGATTGAATAAATTTTATTGTATAAAACGTTATATTAACATAGAATGATAATTTATGACGATGAGAATAATCGTTTTGGTAACTATAACAATTTGTAGTGATATATATGAGATAATTTAATACGGGAAAGCGAAACAAGACAAAGTATATTTACACAAAATCATCCATTTCATTTAAAATGAACTCCATAGCTGTACAACGAAATTCTGCAGTTTGCCAACATTCTAATAGTTTTTTACATTCAGCATTAATCACATATTCAATACGTTCACGATGTTGCATTTTCATCATACATTTGGTGATTTCCAATGACTAAATTTGAGAAAGAGAGAAAACTGACCAGTTTAATTGTTACATAAAGAAATCACTATTAAATCAAGTTTATAATGAGAAAGATTAAGGTGAAGAGAAAATATTTTTATTAATTCCTAGCAAAACAAAACTAGATGTTTAAGCTCCATGTTATAATAGGAAGTATTAAACAATAATTCTTGCTGAGTTATTAATAAAGGTCATTTCCTTCAGTAGTTAAAATTTCACATATCTGATCATATTCACTTTTTGTGTCATATATTTCTTACATAACTTTATTACTTTGTTAGTCAAAATTCTTAACTGTTGACTCTTCTGTTGTCTTTTGAAATAATTTCATCATCAAAGCTACAAGCGTTGTCCTTTCCCTGTTCAAATATATAAATGGGAAAAATTGTACGAAAGACATAGATCAGACAAAAATACAAACACACTTAGCTACCTTGAAATATATATTTTACTATTTATTAAAAACAGAAAAAAACTATCCTTTATTTCGCTAAGCCACGTTATAAACTGCTTTTTCTTGACATTTTTTATCACAACTAAACATCAATAACAGGTGTTAGGGGTATAGAAGCCGCTGGGGTACATAGTTAAAATATCCCGAAGGCAAAGGCCAGTGTTTTGAGGTGATATTAATTGGGCAATCATCTAAGCTATATGAATAACACAAGTTGGAAATTTTACAATTATTTGCCTGGTGTTGTTACAGAAAACCAATTTGTGAAAGCTTCTTCGCTTGCACGTTTTTGAAACCAAACAACGATTAGATCATAAAACCACAAGAAGATAAATTCAGCATTTTTATAGCGTCATGTAAGAGGAGCATATAGATGTCTAGATTTGTTTGTAGACTGATGCCTCTACTTAGACATAACATAGCTTGATAATTGTTTACAACAGTAGATGCAGAAAATTTATCCACAATTTTTTTGTTAAGATAATGAACATCGACTATTAAAAAGTAAGAAAACAGGCACATATCTAAGTGCGACCACAACCTAAGCGTACACTTTATTTAGGGGACCTGCACAAATACATGGTATCGGTGACTGACTGTAATAGGAAATACTTGAGTACAGGTTTGAATTCCAGGTGGAATTCATAAACCATATCAGTGATAACTGTTCTGTAAGTTGATTTTTAATCAAAAATAGATTGCGATCTGCGAAAGCATGGAGAAAACGATCGCCGTTACATAAGCTGCGATCAACAAGTTCTCATCTAGTATCATAATATCTCCTGAACTCTCTTTATAAATCTTATTCAGTTGATCATCGAACTTGCTTTTTGTTTTGTCCAGATTACTATACATAACAGCGTAAACGGATATAACGAGAATACCATGTGCTCGCTAGTGACTAGCTTCGTGAGGGAATTATCGGAGTTTTGGTGAGAAGCCGTGACCAGTGGAGTCCAAACCGCGTCGAGTAGAGATAGGTATCTACCACAGACAATGGAAGATGATCATAAAGTATCACGGATTGGTTGAAGTTAGACATTAACACCGTTGGATGCCACCTCAGTGGTCTAGAGGCTAGATTTTCACGCACGAGACCGAAGGTCCTGAGTTCGAATCTTGAGTGTGGGGTCGTGGATGCGCAATCTTGAGGAGTCCCATATTAAGACGAAACGGCCATCCGGTGCTTTTAGGTTTTCCATGGTGTTCTAGCTTATATCGACTCATAAATTCACCTATTAAAATCAGAAAGACTGAAAATATGTAATCCATATTTCGTAATGAATAGTTTTGTTTAATATTTAATAACTAATTACGGACGGGAATTTATAAAAGTGAGAACTCTACATTGCTTGATGATTCCACAATATTCTACACATACTCATTTGCTTGTTAGATTTTCCATCGTCCCTTTTTTAACGGAAGTTAAGAACGCATTAAACTAGTATGCGATGTGACACGTCACTAACTATGGTTCAATCAAAAGAACTATCGAGACGTTAGACTAAGAGTAATGTTTTCCTAAAACAAAAACATTTAAACAAGAATTAATAAACTTCATAGTTAAGAACTACTGTACGTTATAGCTTGGTATTCTTGTCAGCAATTGTCTTCTCGAAATTTTCTCTTATTATGTATATGAAAAACCAGTAAGTCTCTGTTTGAGTTATATATCTATTTACCATCGGAAAACGCAATGACATGTTTGCGAAGTCCCATGAGACATGAAATATGAGAACAAATGATAAACATTCATATAAAAACTATGCGGTTGGTGAAGTTATATGTGGAAAAAAAGTGGAAAAATAAATTCATAACATTATTTTTGAGGTAGTAAATATCTAAACGCCTAGAAATCAAGGAATAGATAAACAAATGAATAATAACAAGTACAAAGATACCTACCATACACGAATTTTCTGCTAATTTTCGACAACGGAGAAGTAGTTCTTGTTTAAAACTTTTGGGGAACAAAAGATCAGAAGCTAAACCTCGTTGTAAAGCTTCACGTGCGGACAATTTACGACCTGCTAATAATAGTTCGTTAGCCTGTACAATAATTTTTACGAAGAGAAACATTTGATATGAATAAACGAAATAACTGAAGTTTGAATGTTTGTTAATAAAAAACAAAACAAGCAAAAAATGAGACCAGTTACTACGGAATTAAAGCAAAATAAATGTTAAAAATAATATAATTATTTCATAGACAGCCTAAATTTTAATATTATGCATTAATAGTTAAAACCTGAACATAACGAAGAGCGGAGTCAGCTTAAGCGCTGGCTAACAAGAAGTCTACGCAACGATAGCGAACAGTGGTGGGTAGCGAAAGCAAGAGAGATGGAAAAGGCAGCGACAATAGGCAACAGCAGACAACTGTTCAGACTTATTAAAGAAACCGGTATTAGAAACCCAACTATCTCGGAAAAAGACGGACATATTATTCATTCTCAATCGCGAAGATTGGATCGATGGGCAGAACACTTTAGGGATCAGTTCAACTGGCCTTCAGCCACACTTCGGTTTCCCACGATTACGAGTCATCCTGAATGGCAAATTGATATAAGTCCTCCAACTCTTTACGAGGTTGAAAAAGCTATAAGAAATTCAATGCGAGGGAGAGCAGCAGGCCCTGACAGATTTACCCGAGATTTTTAAGGATGGTGGTTCAGCACTAGCAGCGAAGTTGACTGGGGTCTTGAGTAGAATCTAGGGACTGGACGTAATTCCATCTGACTGGTCTCAATCAATGATTGTACCAGTCTATAAAAAAGGACGAAAGTCCTCTTGTGACAATCACAGAGGAATCAGTTTGACTGATATGGTGTTTAAAATATTAGCTTCAATAATACTTCGACGCCTAACCGGAGTTCGAGAAGAGCAGTCTGGAGAAATCCAGGCTGCTTGCAAACCTGGACGTGGTTATATAGACCAGATATTCACTCTAAGTCAGGTCCTAGAACATAGACACACGTTCAGACGACCCACAATCGTAGTATTTCTGGACCTTAAAGCAACATTTGACTTCGTTGATTGTGAGGTTCTATGGCAGTGTTTGCCCTGTTATGGCCGAGAGTGGGAATAGTCCACTCTTCCTCTCGAAATGCTCTCATATAGCCACGCGTATATAGACTCTGCCAAGGAAGTCCTACTCACTGCCTTCTCGTAGCATTACTGTTGTTTACGAAATCGAGAGAACGAAAAGCGAATGTCCAGTGTTTTAACCGGGTTGGTGGACACGGCGCTTCCACCTAGGGGAGTTGGAAAACCCTCATTCCAAACAAATGGTGTACATGGGCTCCAGTATCCTGAGAGAACAAATGGCGTATGAATCAATCGTTGGTCACCGGTTACCATGGAACTACATCTCCTCACCATGCTCCACTGCCTTGTGGATCAGACCTATAGGTCAAACGCTGCTGGTGTGACCCTCTAAAAAAACCACCTTCTTCAATTTGGGCACCTGGGAAGTATCACAGCCCTCACACAAATCAAATGAGATTTGTGCGGCCCATATATATCTGGTGCCCCTTTGTTTAAATAAATAAATAAAACATTAACCTTATAAAGGCTTTCTAATCGAACACAACTGATCGAGTTAGGGCTTATGGCGAACTGTCATCAGAATTGATTACCTCAAGTGGTGTTCGTCAGGACTATCCAATCTCGCCATTCTTGTTTAACTTTGTCGTTGACATGCTTTTAGAGATAACACTTTCATCATCTCAATCTCCTGGAGTTGAACTTTTACCGGGAGGCTCACTTGTTGACTTAGAATACGCCGACGACATAGTTTTATTCGGTGAAGACGCTGACAAAATGTAGTCTTCTGACAACTATAAGCAACTATGCAGGCATGTTCGGGATGCGATTCTCTCCCTCGAAGTGCAAAATGTTACTTCAGGATTGGGTTGCATAGACACCTGAACTAATGATAGGGAGTGAAGTAGTTGAGCGTGTTGACTGCTTCAGTTATCTCGGGAGTCTCATCGGCCCTTGTGGTCTGGTATGTGAAGAAATCTCAGCACGGATAAAGAAGATTTGACTAGCTTTCGCCAACTTGCGTCATTTATGGCGTAGGCGATATATCTGTCTAGCAACAAAAGGACGGGTTTACTGTGCAGCAGTTCACTCCGTCCTACTTTATGGCAGTGAAACATGGTCGGTAAGGGTAGAGGATATTCGTAGGCTACTAGTATTCAATCATAGATGTCTTCGAAGCATTGCTCGCATATTCTAGGACTGCAGTTGTTGGGAAACAGGTACTACGTAAGGATAGCAAATTGATTGATGAAGTAGTGAAACTTCATCATTTGAGACGGCTGGGACACGTGTTACGTATGCCCAACCACCGATTGCCCCGACGTGCAATGTTTTATGGTGTAGGAGTAGGTTGGAAGAAAGCTAGGGGCTGTCAGAACAAAACGTGGCACAAATACATGAAGTCACTGACAAGTGGACTGAGCCATGTTGGTAGGTGTAGACTACCTGGTTGGGATCCGCGAGATGATAACAACCGATGGTTAGAGACGTTGAATGGCATGGATCAAAATCATTTGCAATGGCGAAGTTGCATCCACTCTTTGTGTTCTTCCAAATTCTAATCTTGTGAATTCTTCATGTCTCTATCTTTCTCTCTTTCCAAATTTATTTCACTGTATTATACTCCATAAATAACATCTTGAAACCCTAATCCTTCAGATTACTGCTCATACTACTACTACCTCTACCACTATGGGATTTGAATGGACAACTGCATCTCTGTGCTAATGTTGTATGGCAACTCGAACTGATGTACGTACGCACGAAGTTCTAAGTTGTGACTGACTGATTGAATAGTTAAAACACTTAACTTCTAATAAGTGGGTTATGGATTTAGCCCTGCTCCGCTTGCTGCAACTTAGAGAGTCGGTCGACAACCATAACATAGACAAAACCCGAACGCTGGTACAATGAGTTAGTTTATAACATTTATTTTGTTCTGAACAAGTGAATATTAAACACTGGAATTCATTTTAATTCACGTTGGTTCAAAAATTCGTCATGCAAGAGTTTATATGAAGACCAATGCATATATATATGGACTTGAGCAATCGCATTAACAGGTCGTTCCTTTAATTACCACTAACGAAAACAAAGCATTTCCTGCAGACTCTCTGTTCTGACAGATAATGATTTAGTCACCGCCTCATGCAAATAGTAACAATGTAAATTCGCGATGATTTTGTCAGTATTTTTCATTACACTCCAATAAGTTATTTCATATATCTAACATTAGGTAACAAAGCTTGGTGAAACGAATAATAAGATCAAAATTTGATACATATAAAAAACAAATATTTCATACAACTTACCAAAGGCATACCAACAAGACTGTTTAAAGTGTAAGTCGATGCTCCTTCAGGAATTTGACCAAGTCGAGTATATGGCATATAAAATGTAGCTGAATCACTTATGTAAACAATGTCACACAAAGGTAGTATAGCAACAGCCAGTCCTAATGCTGGACCATTTACACCAACTACAACAGGTTTAGGAAATGAAACTAACGCCAGTAAAAATGACCTTAAAGCTGCCGCTAGACGTCCGACATTTGAAAGATTTGGTGAGCAGAAAAATGAATGGACTCTATTTGCATTTCTATGAGATGATGAATTTAAATTTGAGTCATAGTTAGGTTGAGAAAATGAACAATTTGCATTATCAGAATGATGTGATTTGGAATTATCAGCTACAATTTTATGATGATTTGAATTACGAGAAGCGGATACATTGGCTGCACTTGAGGATGAACTGCGAAATGAATCACATGAAGATGGATTAATAAATGCACTTCTTAAAAGATCGCCCGTAATGATTGTCAAGTCTATCCCGGAGCTAAACACAGTTCCTGTCCCAGAAATCATGATTAAACGACTTGTATCACATGTTGCTCGGTTCAAAACAATGGTTAATTCTTCAAGGACCTTCAAAATTGCAAATACATCAGAAAGATACAGAATTTCCAAAATACAATAAAATGAAATACTGAAGAGAAACTGACATTGATATTACCAATATGATGAAAAGATTTGGTTAATAGATGAGCTTAAACCATTTTTTTTAACGTTACAGATCTAATGAGTTACAACGAAAGACTACAAAACACGTGCTTAGTCTCTATCTGAGTAAAATCACTGAAACTTTCATTTATTGATCATCTGATTGAGAATTAAGCAACCATTTACAACCAAACCAAACTGTTTCGCCTCGACTTCAATCAGAAACAGATACAAGTGATAACTGATGTCTCAATCGTCAATAGATTACTGATATAATAATTTAGCATGCAATGACAGTAATAAATATTTTGCTATTGTAAACAATAGAACAGAACTCTTACCTTGACTGCAATTACATATTAAATATCTTTCCGAATAACGAATACATACATACATACGAATACATACTTTGCATCACCGTATCAGAAATGTTCTCACTGATGGAGATTAATAAAGGAGCAATCGATATAAAATTATAAAAGATTTTTAAATGGTTGGATATTTATGTTCGTGTGAAAAATTCTAGATTATTTACTGAGATCACAAAATGACCTTAGTAAAACAACCATCGGAATCCCGGAGGCAATGAACGGTCGTTTCGTCGTAAAGTGGGACTCGTCAGTAGTGCACATCCACCACCCCGCAATTGGGAATCCAAACCCAGGACCTCCAGTATCGCACGCGGACACTTAGCCTTTAGACCAGTAAACCAGATTCAATAGTGTATATGTCCAACTTCTATCAATCTGTGACCTCTTATAAAGTATATGAAGACAGGTTAATAAGAATTTACATTAAAAGCTACGCAGTAACAACACAAAGGATTGATTATAATATTTTAATTAATGAAGTATGAAAAAATTAATCTTTAATTGTAAAAAAAGGTCATTACGAAAGTAGACGTTGAAAATAGGTCACCAGAACAAAGTAAAGTTGACAACAGTAATTTTTTGAATTCACTTACTTACTTACGCCTGTTACCCCTCGTCGAGGAGCATAGGCCTTGTCTGACTCCGGTCCTTACTGGAAATGCATCTGTCCTCCATGCAACACTTTGCACTGTAGCCCATCGTATGAGTTCCGGATAATGTTGACAATCTTCTGAGGAACTCCGTATTTTGTCGAAGTTTCATTAATGTTCTCCGGTCCACACTGTCAAACGCCTTCTCATAGTCAATGAAGCTGATGTATAGTGATGAGTTCCACTCAACTGATTGTTCTACAATGATCCGTAGTGTCGCAATCTGGTCTGTGCACGACCGATCCTTACAGAATCCAGCCTAATGATCCCTAAGTTCGGCATCTACTGCGTCTTTCATCCGATTCAGCAGCACTCTGTTGAAAATTTTTCCTGGTACTGATAAAAAACTGATGCCTCTGTGATTCTCACATTTGCTCTGATTTCCTTTCTTTGGTATCTTGATGAGGTATCCTTCTTTCCAGTCCATCCGCATTTGTTCCTTCTCCCAAATCTTCTTGAATAGAAGGTGAAGCATGTTTGTAGTTACTTCAATGTCTGACTTCAGTGCTTCAGCTGATATATTGTCAGGTCCTGCCGCTTTCACACTCTTGACTTATCTGATTGCCATCTTGACTTCTTCGATCGTTGGTGAAGTGACATCTACAGGAAGGTCAGTGTGTGATGCTTCGATGTCCGGTGGATTCAATGGAGTCGGCTTATTCAGCAGTTCCTCGAAGTATTCTGCCTATCTTTTCCTCTGTTCTTGAATCTCTGTGATTGTCTTTTCTTCTTTGTTCTTGACTGGTCTCTCCGGTTTGCTGTATGTCTCTGCCAACTTCTTTGTTGTATCATATTCCCTTCTCTTGTAGCTTTTTTTCGCCGTCGCTGCTAGTTCTTCCATGTATTTCTGCTTGTCGGCTTTAATGCTTTTCTTCACTTCTCTGTTTGCTTCTGCGTAGTCTGCTTATGCTTTGACTTTCCCTGCTCGTGTTCGGCTGTTGTTAATTGCTAGTTTCTTGTTCTTCCTTTCTTGAATCTTGTCCAGGGCTCCGATAGAGATCCATTCCTTATGATGATGCTTCTTAGGACCCACATCCTCCTGACACGTCGAAGTTAGTTCTTCTTTGATCCCTTTCCAGTTGTCCTACATCGTAGTTTCTTGTTCTTTCAGTAAATCTTGTAGAGCTTGGAACTTGTTATTGACGGTTATCTTGAATTGGTTGAGCTTGTCAGTATTTCGAAGGAAGTCCGTATTGAAGCTTTGTAGTACTGTTTGTCCAGTCTTTCTTTAGCTTCAACCTCATCTTGACCACAACCAGGTGGTGATCTGAAGCTCCTCTAACATCTTCCATTGACATTCGGAATTTTTGTTGATACATATATGATCTATATGGTTCCGTGTGGTGTGGTCTGGTGAGATCCATGTAGCTTTGTGTATGCATTTGTGTGAATATTGTGCCGTATATAACCAATTTGTTGAATGCACATAGATTTGCAAATCTCTCCCCGTTTTCATTTCTCTCTCCTAGTCCATGTCGTCCTATGATATCTTCATGTCCTGTGTTGTCCACTGCAACTTTAGCATTTAGATCTCCCATCAGGATGGTGAGGTCCTATCGTGAGCACTTCGCTATAATTGATTGCAGCCTTTCATAGAAATGATCTTTATCATCGTCGTTGCTATCATTGGTGGGTGCATAACATTGGATAAAATTCATTGTGATCACTACCTTCTTTGTTTTGAATGATGCTTTTATTATCCTGGGTCCATGAGATTCCCATCCTACAATTGCATTTCGTGCTTCTCTGGACAGCATTAGAGCAACTCCCGGAGTGTGTGGAGCATTTTCTTCTTCGCGACCGGAGTGTAGAAGCATCTCTTTCGTACCTAGCCTTTGTTGTCTAGCTTGTGTCCAATGGGTTTCGCTGATTTCGAGTACTGCCAAGTTGTATCTCTTCATTTTCATTGCTATTTGACTGGTCTTCCCTGTCTCCCACATTGTCCGGACGTTCCATGTAGCTATAAAGAGTGTTTCTCTGGTTGTTAAAAGGTGCATCGATCTCGTGACTTCCGAAGAATTTCGGCTTTCATCATGAGACGTCATAATTATTCCTTCTACTCTCAGGGCAGAGTTTAAATTGTTTGAATTAATTTTTCTGGTTAGCGAGTTAATTTTTCTACGGGATGGGGTCGCTAACCCCATGCCCAACCCTCCTCCTTTGCCCGGGCTTGGGACCGGCAGTAACTCTAGAAGAGCTACAGGCAGAGTTTTTTGAATTCACGATTATGGTTTAAGCCTTTCGATAGCAATGAGTACAACAAAACGTAATATATATTCAAAGTTCCTTGTTTAGCAATAATTTTGAACGATTTGTAAACTGCAACGTCATATTCACTATCAAGCAAATGACAGACGATTGAATCTTTAAAGACATATTAACTTCTTATTTTAAACTTCTGAGGAATGGGCTCAGAGATGCGGATATCAACACTCGTTTTCGTTCTTCCAATGTATGTGCTTTGGCACGTACATATGAACTGGTATACATAACCAGAGGTAACGTGAAGGGAATATTTGTCCATTTAAAATGTCTTTGTGAGCGATTTGCTTGATATATTCAGACAATTTTTGAAATCGGATAAGCTTTTTTCTATGCAGCTGTTGATCTAGAATCAATCTTGCTAGATATTTCGTTCCTTTTGAAGCCATGTTGTATGAAGATATGTTTTTTTCTCCACCGTAGCACACTTTTACTTTTGTTTTTATCTTACCATTTATATTGAAAAATGTTTGTGGATTATCATTATTATTCAGACTCCATTCAGAAAAAGTCGATTTCTCTTTAATTCTATATATACATATATACAGTAATATTACATTAAAATTGTACATCCTTTGTACATATCGGTAGTGGCTATTTGAATGACTTTACAACCACTGCATATTTTCTGCGCTTTGACCTGGTTAGTGGATATGCGAAATCCAAAAAGGAGAGTTAGAAAATTCTGACGTCAAACCAATGGTATATATAGGCTCCAAGATCCTGAGGGGACGAATGTCATATGACCTTATCCTTGGTCACGGCTAACATGGGATTCCCCACCTTGTGGCTCGAGGAGTGTGCCTCTAAGAAAAATAACTACTTTGACCTGGGAACCTCGGCAGTATCCTATCCTTATTATAAATATGCCAATGAAGAATTATAAAAAAATTATTCACTAGCTGAGATTGACTACTAAATCAAAAGAAATTTATTACCCACTTAGCTCAAAGGGTTTCTAGTTTACCGTACTCCATTTTTCTATTCTGTATTCGTTCCCACCCTGAGTTTACTTTTATTTTATTATTTATAAAGAAGCTTATCAGTGGTGAGAATTCTGTAGAGTCTAGACGAACTGAAATACTGAATGGTGGAAATTATGAACGCAAATTGAACAATAGATAGGTTCGTGTATGTCTTTGGAAAATCTCATTGTTGACGTCTGCTGTATGTATGAGATTCGTATTCAAGACTAGTGAAGCACTGCGAATTCACTCTACATCCACTAATTTGAAAAGCTTATTTAAGGGTGTTTGGTGATCATGAGACAGAACCTTCGATTGTGGAATTTTATGCTACACTATTCTATAAAAGTCTATGACTATCGTAAACATTTGGCACAAATATCTGAGAACAATAATTTATTACTTCATTAAATTAAGTAGTAAAGTAACATGACAAGAAATGTTAAAGAGAGGAATGGAAAGATCTGTCAAGTAATACTTATGAATGAATAAATTAAATAGGATAATATTGTTTACTTAGTTGCAATATTCATGAAAAAACTAAGGGGAAATAGTAAATAATTTAAAATGTTTTAAACAATGACAAAGTAAAACTGTGCATTTGGAAAAGGATGTTCAGGTTATTTGAGAATCTGTGGTGGATCAGCAATGAAATTTTTTTCATAAATACGCAGCATTACGTCGCTCTCTCTCTCTCTCTCTCTCTCTCTATATATATATATATATATATATATATATATATATATATATATATATATTACAAAACAAAGCAATAAAGAATGAATAGAGCATATTATTTTGATGAGATTCATATATATATTGCAAGCTTTATAGGTTACGTGGATTAGTAAAAGTCAAATATGTGTTTGATGTATTAACATAATTCTTTTACTTATTAACAAACAAGGGCTAAAATTAGTCCGAAGATGAATGAACTGGGGAGTCTTCTCGATCACTTAACTCTCTACTATTAATCTGAGCATCAACCAAACCACATTATGAGTGTCAGCTTACCAGACATGTGCTAAACACATAACTAACATTCTCAGATTTTCACTGAAGTAATTCAAATGGACCCTGAAACTTACCAACATCTTTTTCTGACAAAATTACGTCATCTGTTTACCTTAGGTCGATCAGAGGATCTGCCCGTAAGAGATTTATTTCTGAGAAGTAAAACGAAAATAGCGGTACATTTAGAGCAAATCCAATAGAGCTATTAACAGCGAAATTGGACAAAAACTGGAAAGATGGACTGTCAAAAAAACCCATTTAAAACAGTTAACTTAGATAGCAGGATATAGTATCGGTCGATATAAGCACGTGATCGAGTAAAAGGTCGATAGCAGGATGATGTAAATCCTTAATGAATATACGGCTAAGCTAACAACGATGAAAGAGCACCCAAATGAACAAGATACGGATTTCAAGGTAATTGATGACATCAAAAAAGATAATATTAGAGCAAAGTTATGCTTTTAAAACGACGAATTATATTCTCACTACTGCATAGAAAACTTAGCAACAATAAAATTAAAAACAATCGAGTTGTGTTAAACAGAAGTGTCACACTTCAGTGATAAATACAACACAACGTAAATATGAGGGTATCCTAATAAATATATCTATACACATCATTTAAAGCTTTAAGACGAAGATGAAAAGGTAATAACATCGATTATTTTTACAATAACAAGCAGTCAGCCTGTTATATACAAAATGGAACCTGGAACATATGTGCATTGGTACACGTTGAGACATAACTTCGGCAGAGCGAGATATCACAGTAGTTGAAAACATTAAAGGGAGAGACAACATCATTCCGTCAAAAAGACAAAAACCATGAAATTAAAAAAATTTAAAGGCTAGTTAAAATTCTTAGAGTCGGAGGGAAGAAAAACAGTAAATACAACTGCCCAGTAAAAAACGATTCCAGGCTATGTCACCTAACGTATGTAATGCTCTTTATCTAATACCACGGTCGTTCACTAAGTTGTCTCGAAGAGCGCGAGCAACGCTTCGAAGATAACCTCTACTGATTACTACAATGGCTGATGATACTTCTAAGGCAAGTGAAGTGGTAGAAGCACTCGACTACTTCACTGTCTATCATCAGTTTAAATATTGGTCCAGACCAGTCATTAAGCAACATATTGAATTTAGAGGGAACAAATTACAAACCAAACATGTTTACACTGTTGCTCAAGACAATCAGAAGACTGTATTTTCTCAAAGTTTCCATGATAACAGAGCTGTTACCTAAGTATTCTGAAGTCAGCGAATGATAATCCCAGTAAGAAATCGATTCCTGAAACGTTACACGATGATAGCATTATCACTAGACGAATGTGTATGACGAGGTTAGACAAAAATAGGGACACTGGAAAACTCTTACAAACGCCAATAAATGTTAGCACTTCCAATGACAGTTTGTCATAAGCTCTGATCTAACCAGTAGTATTCGAGTACATAGTCTGCACAAGACCGCTGTACCGTGGTGCGCTTTTAATTGATGGGCACTCCCATTAAATTTCTCAACCAACAGAATAGAACGCTGCTTTGGTGTTGAGAAATATAACTGTGGTTAGGAATCGTTAGGTAAGTCTGTGTTCCAGAACTTGATGAGGAGTGAATATTTGGTGTACGCAACTACTCCAACTACTAATGTAGTGAACGAGAAGACAAGTGAGGCAATCTAATGTATTTGACACGAAATTACAGAATATCTCACTAAAATATGACAACGGTTAATTTGTAAACTGTCGATCAATTGTCTCAATCTTCACGGTTCCTTCTGTAAACACCAGTCTATCGTCTACTTTATTGTTTGTGGATTTCCATACTAATTGCGTTTCGTTCCCGTTCTTTCTTTATCAATCTTCTACTGAAATACATTAAATGCCCAACCATCGTTATATACTACTTATGTGGATATAAGTAACCCGCACCGTACTAAGACTAGACCTTCATAATTAAAAACTTTCTAGACTTTTACATATGGACCTGTTGCTTTACTCCACTCTACATAAGCCACAGGTTTTCAACTTTATTACTACTCAGAGGACTTGTGTTGACATTCCATTGAATTCGCTTGGTAACAGTTAAAAACTGGATGGTAGTTGAAGACCAGTTAACGTGTTTTACACTTCATTTTTGTCTACTGGGTTGAGAGTGGATTATTGTCCTATCTTTGTCAGAAATATGCTAACTAACATATAACCTTTTTATTGTTTACCTACTTGCTATGCCTGAAAAGTCGTCTGTTATCGTCCATCGCGCTGCTTTTATCATGTCTTTTGCTTTCACTGCCTAATACTGGTTACGATAATTCCATAGACATGTCAGTTTATGTCTATGTTATCTTTGCTCTTCATTGTGCTCCAAACCTGATAAGACGAGTTTTTGGGCATCTATCAATCCAGCAGATAGTACCGAAGTCCATCAATATTTCCAAATCTTTTGGTTCAAATCACTGGTAGAAATTACTGCTGTTTTCACAGACCTCTGGATATTGTGCCAGTCTACATTGTGATAATAATTTCTTTCATGATTGGCTAATTGCTTCTCTAGTTTTACCTGGAGTAGATTTTTGACTTTTTTGTCGAAAAGCTGAACACTAATAAGTTTTCATTTTGCAGCTTTCCTGAGTTCAGTAAAACCCAGGGGAGTAGGTTTAGAGTGAAAACATCTGCTCCAAAATGAACGACAGTCTTCTATCAATCTTTTCCGACGATAGTCAACCACAATATGGTATATTTGCATCCATCGATCAGTCGATTTTGAGACTTACGATGTATCGTTTTATGCTCAGAATAAAGCCTACTAAGATCAAATAGTTATCTGATCATAGTTGGAGCAGACAGTTGTCGTTGTCTGTGTGATGAGCTAAAAATACTATTATAAGAACTACCCGTTTTTCAGTTCCATCTAGACTACCTATCTAACTGACGAACTCCTCTAGGATTGCGCTCAACCCATCAGTTTTCTAAGAACAGCAGAAAGGTTTATACAAAATTCATATTTCGCTTCCTCTGGAGTGCAGTTATTCGGAATGTAGGCAGAGAAAACGAGGTAACACCAAATATATCTAGCTTTCTGTGCTATTAATATCTCTTTTAGTCAGACAGCGTATAAGAGACTATCTATTGAGATGCGGTTCAGCTGAGTCTATTCTACTTTTAAATAAAGTGGGATGCTTACGCCAGCGAGGTCACAGGAAGTAAAAATCACGTCCCGAGGTACACAGAGGGTAAGCCACTCTGGCTCTCTATTTTGACTAAGTGACGTCCAGTGAATGACCACACTTGGATTCCACAGCACAGATCGATAGCATGAGATTCTGCAGTCCCACTTGAAGAAGCCTGCTGTTCAACTTGATAAACGGTTAAAACACTGAAAGCTCCAACATGTAGTTTAAAGTACAGTTCATAAAATCGACTTGTTAGCATTAGTGACGCATGGCGATAAAGTCATAGAAGAAAAACTGGTAGTGGGGACTGAAGAAATATTAAAAAGTGACGAAATTCGGATCATGAAAGAGATGGTTTCGAATTTTTTTTAAGATATAAGGGCATTTGTCACATTCGGGCCGTGCACAATATAAGGATACTTTTTCTTGAGGGACCTGAAAAAGAAACTGAATTAACACTGACCACAGAGTTCAAAAGACAACAGTTTGAGGTTGGTCGTAAACAAATTTCATGCAAGTTTCTGATGTATTGGCCCCGTACTTTAAAAGCGTTACTGACGGAGACGAAGATCTGTCGGGTAAGGTGAAATATAGGACCTTTGGGGGTGACCGTTTATAATCCCTTGCTTCAATTTTAAAAGGCAGCATCGCCATACTGTTTATTTGAAATAAAAACTTTACTCTTGTCATACTTCTGTACAGTAAGCAGTACGACTTCGTCCTCGAAATTGAAGCTGATGCCTTTAGTATCCAACTAACCCACCTAGCATGATAGGACCTAAAAGAACAAGTGTTCCAATTAAGTTATCATAATAAACAAGCTAAACCACGACGTCATTGTATCAGCTACCACCAGTAACTGAAAGATGACATGGGGTTAAAAAGGCCTGATTCATTCTAAACAAGGATAAAACAATGAATTACCTGAATCGTAAATCCATTTTTTAGAAAAGAACCAGGTGATTGCAACCAAACTTCTGTAAATCCACCTTGTACATTTTTCTTTACCCAAATCGATTTAAATTTATAAACATCTGTTTGTCGATTGCTACGTCTTGAATTTGTTTGCGGCATGCTTGAACTATCGAGATTGGACCCAGATGTAGAACTCAAATTATTACATGAACTTTGATTAGGCTAGACATAAAAAATCCAGAGTCGATGAAATGGAAACAAGATTTAATTTTTTTTCGGAGGATGAGATGAATAAACTGAGAATATGTGTTGACTATTATAACTCAGTTTACTGGATGGAACTATGCTTTTCCAAGTTTACAATCATCTCGTTTAATGTACCATTAATGTTACTATTATTATCAAGATTGTTTTGTATATTATTTGAATGCTAAAATAACATAAAGAATGGTGATCAACCAATCAATCGAAACGATATACAATACGTTCGAGTGAGAACTGATCGTGAATGATAGCCTACTGCATTATAATAAATGCGGAATTAGAAAACTGAAAAAAAGATCTTCATAAAAACTTAAAAACGTCTACAGCCCTATACTGATAATTATCATGTGCTCATTAGTGACTAGCTTCGAGAGGTAGTTATTGGAGTTCAACTGTGTCAGGTGTTAGACAGTTGTTACCAACGAAAGACAATAGAAGATGGTCGTGCAACATTATTGATTGATTGGAGTTAGACACTAATATCGTCGGATGCCAGCTAAGTGGTGTAGAGATTAGGCATTCATGGGAGATACCGAAGGTCTTGTGTCCGAGTGCCGTGTGAGATCGTGCATGTGCACTTATGAGGAGTCCAACACTAGGATAAAACGACCCCCCAATGCTTTCAGGTTTTCAATGGCTGCCTAACATTAATAGGTACATGATCTCAACAAAGAATATGGTTCCGCGAGAAATTTTAATTTACATCATGTCACTTAGACCGCAACATTGTATTACAGTTTACTTTTACAAACGGTAGTCAGAAATAAAAGAGGGATGTTGATTCATTTAACGAAAGTGTTGTATATAATTAAGTACTGAATATAATGGTTTATAACAATTGGAGGCGTTGCATCACTTAAAAAAGTAATTAAAGACTAATAAATATTTTGAAGTATTGAATGAGTGGACGCTAACAAGAAATGATAGTATTTTTACAAGAAATGAAATAGGCAATTATGTACATTGAGAATGTGTTCGATGATTGAGCTGTTAATTTGGATAACGTTTTAAACAAAAATGGAGAGTAGTGCACGGATTTGCGTTTGATAAGAGCATGCTTCGAACAGTTTATATTGCCAGATTCATAATAACAAGTAAGCCAGTAGATACACAATGGGATGGCTCAAAATGCCAATTCATACTTGACACATCTAAAAATGAGGTGTTTACTAGAGGAAACAATTTGGAACTCCACTCAGTAGGTTTAGCTTAGAGATCTTGATAACCTGTTGTGCAATATTTCTGCTGTAGCATCCCTTTGAATTTGGCGTTCATAAATAAAATTTTTAAAACTGTGAATTTACTTTCAGCTAACGTCTCGGCTTTAGATTACTATCAATAAACCTGTGGAGAACCATAGAACTAGGAATGTTTTATAGATTTTGTCGAATTCAAAATTGACCGCGTCATTAGTCTAGTTCTCAAAGATGAAGACTGGATTAGGTTTCACTTCCTATTCCATGACTTAGCATATCAACTACATTTTATCGGTTATAAAAAATACAGTCAGATCTGTATCAATAAAGAGATAATATACTTTGAAGAATAAAGTGCAATAATGTTTTATTTCACAGGCTTTCACTAATGATGGGGAATTTAAGGTATCTTAAGTCCATTTACAAATCTACAATTGCAAACCACGTACACTATGAGAACAAAGAGACAGAATTACATTCACTCTTTTAAATACGTTTTAGAGTCAGAAATTAAAAGATTTTCAATCGATTACATGTGCAATCTCAACTCTTTACTGACTCTAAAATGATGGACAAAATAATTCAATCTCCTTTGTTTTGTTTAGTTCATTCATACCAAACAAATCAAGTCTAATGTTTGTGAGTATAAAACGATAGTGTTCAAATTACCTCAATAGTTTATCCATCCCTGCGTTTTTAGTTTAGATGAGTTACAAATACTGCATATAAGATTCATTTGTATACAACTTAAGATTTAGAATATTCATAAAACATGTGTTCAAACAAGTGTAATGTTTTAATTGTGAAAGATATTTACATTCGAAATAACCATCTATTGCAAAAATAAAGTCGGTGTGTTGTGTGGGATAATATTTTAATAAAAATTTTACTGTTCAACCACGTTTATTTTCTACCCTTAAACAAACTCTTGTCTTTTATAATAAATATTACGGAGATAAAAAACGAATTCTAATATATTAAACGTAAGTTAGTTTCAAAATCATTTTTTAAAAGCTACTAGACATTAATGTCTGTAATAAATTCAAATCATAATAATTCATGTAAGTTAACTAACTTGTTCAGATCGATGAAATGGTAAGTTATCCATTTGACTTTCAAAAGTTGTTTCATTTAATGGACTAGCCGGAGGTACAATAAATATCTTGGTGCCTTGTTGAAGAATATCTGGATATTAAAAAGAAAATTGAGAACTTTAGTGTCAAAAGAAGAGTGAAATACTTAACAAATAATAGAATTTATTAACTCGGCCAATAAATATTTGTGTACTCGGGTTTGTTTATGTGACAACTAGCGATATATTGCAGCAGAACAGTTCTCGAACCTATAAAAAATAATTGAAAGCCACGATTTGACCACTAAGCTATGAATTTACTTGAAAATGTTGGCAATAGTGTTTGTGTATCTACCAAAACTGTTTATTCAATTTTACTTAGCCCACACTGTTGGCTAACATAATAAATTGTAAAACAATCACATCAATCACACGTAATTAATAGTCAGATGGAGATGATTTCAGCTATGGATGTTGGTTTTCAATGCAATATTGTGTTGAAAACATCAGCAGTGAAGCCTGGATGGTTAATATAGGTTATCTACCACAACTATCCTATGCTTCTGTTTAACCTTATGAACAGTGTTGATGGAAAATACTACAAAGATTCTTAAACAGAACGGCTCTTCAAAATATTTTCTCGATAAGAACGGATGGAAGTATCTGCCTTGAAGAAGGGGCTATTCAACTAACTTTTTAAGCACAAATCAAGGGATCGATTATAAACTGACAGCTTTTCAACTAACTTTTTAAGCACAAATCAAGGGATCGATTATAAACTGACAGCTTTTCAACTGTAAACTGTTTTCAGCTCCAAATAATGGCAACGTTCAAAACTTACTTTTTGCATTCATTTCGTGAGATACAGTGAACTACTGTGTAGGTGTGACTAATCAACGTTCAAATTAATATTTTACCTAATGCTAGAACATTATAAAGAAATTATACGAGATACGAAAAGTAGAGAACTACATACTTGGTGGTGATTTAACACTCATTGAATAATCTCCGTCAATATGTATGGTATTTACTTGTACATCATCCACAATAACAGAAGACTGATTGAGATAGATCTTTCCATTGATATCTGAATAACAAGAACAGTGCGTATTAGATTTTTGAGAAGCTATTGATCCATTTGTTACAGATCTTCGACTAGAGCGCTGGTGAACATTGGTGGTTGGATCAGTTCGTGCAATTTTAGATGAAGAATGGCTTGGTGGTTCCACTGAATTCGGTCGTTTAGACTCAGGTACAGCAGATGTTGTGCACTTTGGTCGTTTTCCATTTATTCCACCATTATATTTGGCTTTAATTTTGGCTGATAGAGATGCAGGTTTCTTTAGGTCCCCCCGAGCCACAACAAAAGGGTTGGAACGGTAAGATATACCCTTAGCTGACTCAACACGGTGTAAATGACCTCGTGTAACTAAGATGTCTAGAGAAGATAAAACGAGGCTTTCAGGAATACTATGATGCTTTTGGCAAAGTGCCAGGACAAGCTGTTGTACAGGGCGTCTTCTTAAGTTTTTCAAATGAACAACGATATTCATGACTTTTGACATGATAGAATCAGATATGGGAGATTGATCCTCACATGATGGTAGGGATTCGGAAGCATTAACACCTAGTTCCGTCTTTGAAGTTACACTAGTAGGCTGAACACGCTTTTTGGAAACCGGTTTAGAAACAGTATTAGGGAAAGATTTAGAGTTTGGTGAATTACTGCGGTGGAGAGACCTAGTGCTCTGAAACTCATGTGTGGGAGAAGCCTTCAGCATAATTGTAACAGATTTACGTGTTTGCCCGAGGAGAGAATTTTCTTGGGTATCAGAGGTAGTGAAGTCACCTACATTTTTGTCTCCCTTCAGGAGGTTTTGAGAGACTGGCGGATTTGCAGATACTGAATCATTTTGTTGAAAAGCACCATTATTAGGTTGCGATTTGCGTCTGGTAGACTTGGGAGTAGTACGGTTTGATTGGTCAGGAAATGACCTTGGTGTTTTTTGTAATCGTTGTGAAGTATCACCGCAATTATCTTTAGAAAGTCCAACAACAGGAACTTTATTCGTGGGAACTTTACAGTCATTTTCAATCTGGATTGTATTCGGACCAGATAGTGAACCAGTTGAATCCCCAGAAACTTCACACGGAACCCAACCATTATCTGGGTGCATTGTGTGATCTGAACGGTTAAGTGTTTGAATGTTTAACAACGCATCTGAATCGCAGACTAATGGTGTTTGCGAAACACTGGACTCAGAACTCGGAAAAGATGACGAGTGGCCAGAATAAGTTCCCGGTTGTAACGAAAAGAAACTAGTCGAACTTAAGGCTACTGAACTTGGAGCAGAACGACGTGACGTTGGCCGTACAGTATTCCTCTTACTTGACTTAAAAGGAAGTGGAGGTGGTTGACTTTTGGTAGACGAAATACTGCTCTTGTCTGCAGCTAAGTCGTCATCGCTATCTTTTTCTAATTTTACAGACATGTCATGAAATTCATCTGTTTCACATCTTAGAAGCTTGCTACGAGAAACCAAGGGTAGAGAGTAACGCCTTTTTCCACGATGAAGTTTGCGGTAACGAATGTGAAAGTCTTGAATCAATGAAAGGCATGGTTCGCGAAGACTGGTGAAGGGTTCCCAAGAATCTTGCTCCGGAGGAAATCCTTTCCATCTAACACGGTACTCCACGCGACCACGGCGAACTCGTCGGTCTATAATGCTATCAACCTAAAAACGTAAAGTCCATAGGATAGCTCATGAAAAGTAATGTAACATTAACAGAATGAAACTTTAAAGACACAATCATAAAACTACGTCCTAATTACGAGCTACAAATCACCTTAAGCCCTTCGAATTCATTTAAAATAGTATGCCAAAACAATATCATACGAAATACCTTCAAGAACAATTAAATTTGCATTTCTGTATCTTGACGTCAGATATTTTGCTGCTCTGACATGGAGGATCTTTTAACTAGCAACCACAGACCACTTTTATATCATATTTAATGACAACATTTTGGTGGTAGCACACTGACCTGGGAAAATTATTTATACCTAGACACCTGAAAACACCAAAAATCATCCTGTGATAACCATAGAGGGATTAGTCTGACTAACATAGTATCGAAAATACTAGCCTCAATAATTATCGGGCGCCTAACTAAGACTCGTGAACTGCAAACACGAGGAAATCAGGCTGGCTTCAGACCTGGTTGTGGTTGTATCGACCACATATTCACCATTCGTCAAATTTTAGAGCACAGATATGCTTACCGGCGTCCGACAATGATAGTTTTTCTTGACTTAAAAGCAACATTTGACTCTGTAGACCGAGAGGTTCTGTGGCAGTGTCTGTCATTGAAAGGTGTACCTGAGAAGTACATAAACCTTGTGAAGGCTCTTTACTCGAACACTATCAGTCGAGTGAGAGCTTATGGCGAACTGTCATATGATTTTACAACCTCAAAAGGTGTCCGTCAAGGCTGTCCACTATCCCCATTTTTGTTTAACTTAATTATAGACCTGTTGCTGGAAATAACACTCTCAACGACTGAATTTTCAGGAATTGATCTTCTACCAGGAGGTTCACTTATCGACTTAGAATACGCAGATGACATAGTCCTGTTTGGTGAAGACACTGACAAAATGCAGTCTTCTGCTGGAACTCAGTAATAATGCCAGGATGTTTGGGATGCGTTTCTCCCCATCTAAATCTAAATTGTTACTCCAGGACTGGCCTGCGTCAACACCTGAACTAAGGATAGGGAGTGAGGTAGTCGAACGCGTCGACGACTTCACTTATCTTGGAAGTCTGATCAGCCCTAATGGGTTGGTGTCAGACGAAATCTCTGCACGGATTCAAAAAGCTCGTTTGGCTTTTGCCAACTTACGTCACCTATGGCGAAGACGAGATATCCGTCTATCAATTAAGGGACGAGTATACTGCGCAGCAGTTCGCTCTGTTCCGTTTTACGGCTGCGAAACGTGGCCATTAAGAGTAGAAAATACTCGTAGGTTACTAGTATTTGACCACACATGCCTTAGAAATATTGTTCGCATCTGCTGGGATAACCGGGTAAGTTATAGTGAGGTTAGACTCAGGGTATTAGGAAATGATGGTAAATCAGTTGATGAGGTGATGAATCTTCATCGACTGAGATGGTTAGGCCACGTATTACGTATGCCTGAACATCGATTACCACGATGCGCAATGTTGAATAGTGTAGGGGATGGTTGGAAGAGAGTTAGGGGCGGCCAAACCAAAACATGGCATCAGTGCTTGAAGTCACTAACTTCTAGTCTGAGCCATGTTGGCAGATGCAGACTACCTGGTTGGGGTCCGCGTGACTATCGTAACCAATGGTTGGAGACTCTGGGTGACGGCTCAGAATCGATCACAATGGCGTAGGTGTATATACTCTTTATCTTCCCTTAAATCTTGAGACTAAAATTGCTTCATAACTTTTTTCCTTCCTATACTATATCCTTATATACAACCTTTCTTTATATACTACCACCACTAAATTAATTACTTCTATGAATCCGGTGTGCATCTTGTTGTGCTAACGAGGTATGGCAACTTGGACCGATGCATAGGTATGCCTGGTCCTACGTTGTAGCTGACTGACTGACTGGCTGAAAATACCAAACGTGAATTTAAACCTCCAATCAACTACTAGGAGATTCTAAAACCAAATTTTGAAACTGTAACCACCAGAAATAATCAATAACAAATAGATACTAATACCACAGGACTCACTGCCTTCTCGTGGCGGGGGTTTTGTTTACGAAATTAAGAGGACGAAAAGCAAATGCCCGGCGCTTTAACCGGGTTGGTGAACATGACGAGTCCACCTAGGGGAGTTGGAAAACCCTCATTCCAAACAAATGGTGTACATGGGCTCCAGTATCCTGAGAGAACAAATGGCGTATGAATCAATCGTTGGTCACCGGTTACCATGGGACTACATCTCACCATGCTCCACTGCCTTGTGGATCAGACCTTTAGGTCAAAGGCTCCAGGTGTGGACCTCTAAAAAAACCCTGCTTCAGTTTAAGCACCAGGGAAGTATCACAGCCCTCACACAAATCAAATGAGATTTGTGCGGCACGTATATCTGGTTCCCCGTTGTACCGATATTTGCGTTTGAATAAAAATTAATAAAATAACCACAGGACCTGGTGCAAATATTCATTGACTTCACTTATTGCATCTCAAAGCAACGGCAAATTAACAAACAGGTAAAACAACGAAGGGTGAATGACTCTACCATCAATAATGAGAAGTAGAAAAATAATGAAGAGTAAAGAGAAAAAAGGAGTGGACAAAACGAGTATTATTACTTTAGAAATTGGACGCAGAAGACGGAATTAATGCATCAATCTCAGTGAACATACAGTTATCTCACGGACCAACTAGAAAGCCTCCACATCTACACATTGTTAAGCAGGGGTCCGGGTGTAAGGACACCAAAACCAACAATCCTAGTTAGTTATTTAAAACTTGAGTGTATTGACTACTTCACCCATCTTGTTAGCTTTAAAAGCCCCGAAGTTGGTTCAGAAAGCTCGATTAGTTTTCGCCAATTTAAATCGTTTCTGACTTATCGAAGATCATTTGCAAACCAAAGGACTATTATGTTGCACAGCAGCTCGCTCTCTCTACCTTACGGTTGTGAAACGTGGACATTAAAAGTAGGCGATCTATTCGTAAAACTGATGTTTGTAAAGATCACTGAGTGAGTAGTGCTGAGATTAGATACAAAGAACTACGTAAGCGTGAAAAGTTTGTTAATGGTATTTGAGTATTCTTAAAATTGATTAGTTGAGACATATACCATCTGAGATAGTAGTCTAATCTTAACAGATGGATTTACTAATAACTTGCCCATAGTCTTGGAATTGGACATCATCCCGAATAGTTACAAACGCTGATTGTTCCAGTTTACAAGAACAGAATCCTCTTGTGTGATAACCACAGAGTAAACAGTCTGACTAACAGTCCCTAACTAGAGTATGTGAAGATCAAACTCAGGAAAACCAGACTGGCTTTAGACTTGGGAGTTGTTGCGTATACCAAATATTCACTCCTCATCAAGTTCTGGAACACAGACTTACCTAACGATTCCTAACCACAGTTATATTTCTCAACACCAAAGCAGCGTTCTATTCTGTTGGTTGAGAAATTTAATGGGAGTGCCCATCAATTAAAAGCGCACCACGGTACAGCGGTCTTGTGCAGACTATGTACTCGAATACTACTGGTTAGATCAGAGCTTATGACAAACTGTCATTGGAAGTGCTAACATTTATTGGCGTTTGTAAGAGTTTTCCAGTGTCCCTATTTTTGTCTAACCTCGTCATACACATTCGTCTAGTGATAATGCTATCATCGTGTAACGTTTCAGGAATCGATTTCTTACTGGGATTATCATTCGCTGACTTCAGAATACTTAGGTAACAGCTCTGTTATCATGGAAACTTTGAGAAAATACAGTCTTCTGATTGTCTTGAGCAACAGTGTAAACATGTTTGGTTTGTAATTTGTTCCCTCTAAATTCAATATGTTGCTTAATGACTGGTCTGGACCAATATTTAAACTGATGATAGACAGTGAAGTAGTCGAGTGCTTCTACCACTTCACTTGCCTTAGAAGTATCATCAGCCATTGTAGTAATCAGTAGAGGTTATCTTCGAAGCGTTGCTCGCGCTCTTCGAGACAACTTAGTGAACGACGGTGAAGTCAGAAAAGGTTCTCAAGGTAGAGGTGGCGAATCGGTTAACGGGATCATGGACATGGACATCAAGTCACTCACTGTTGGAATGAGACATGCTGGTGAGTGCAGTCTACAAGCGTGAGGTCAACACTATTATCATTACCATTGGTTAGAGACGTTGGGGGATAATCCCGACTCGTTCGTCATGGAGCAAATGTATTTACTCCTGGTCCTCTACCAGACCCTAAGAATTTAAACGAGCCTTTAAGTTTTTTAGTGCATGAATTTATTCATCCTCAAATTATGTTGCCCATCGCTAATAGTTTAACTACATACCAGGTTCTGCCATATGTACTACTGAGCGACTCAGATAAAAAGCAGCTTGGACCAACTAGTCTGATATATAGCCATGAGAGATAAAACCAAAGCCTATGTAGTCAATAGTGGAGTGAGATACAAAATGAATATTCCACAACCAATGAAAGCTATCTCCAGCACTGGCGGTGTAGACAGTTCCTACAAAAACTAATTTCCACCGAAATATTAAGGTGCATGATGAGCTTAACCTTTCCCGAGAAAAACTGCCATGTTTTAAAAGTGGTTGACTGTTGAAATCCTGTGGATAGCAGTTCATAAACACAATATAGTTTAGGTAACAGCGAAAGGACGTCCAGTGCCTAACACGTAGTCAAACTTACAAGAAAAACACTACCAATTCACAAAACCTTTATTCGGGAACAGCTTAGGACCATCAAACCTCAAATTCTTTCAGAGAGTTGAAAGGCGGAGGTCACACAGCTCTCCAAAGTCGCTGAGGTTATGTATCAAAGATTGAAGTAAATTTAGCGTTAAACAAAAGCTCTCCAAAGTTAAAACAGATATTCTTACTAGATAAATATTGTGCTCCTCGCTTTCTGACTGTTTCATCCTACTTTAGTTAGAATCTCGATAAATCTACCTACTACAAGCGAATGTTTTGAGAAGTGCGCGTAAAAGTCGGACTAATACTAGCGCATAGCCATGAACAAAAACGGATAATAATGACTTTCTGTTAACACGCTAACTTTCTAGACCACTTTAACTTGCTACGGCATACATAGAAGTGAATAAAACCATACTTACCATCATGTAAGGCACCGAATTTATGCTAGTAGCCAATTGTCCCAGTAATCTGGCTTTCAATACAATGTCAAACAATATTATCAAGTAGAGTAAACCTCTAGAATCTGAAACCTTAATTCTCAAACCTGAGTCGTATTTTAATTGATTAAATGCGTTTTTGGGAGGCTGTAGATGCGTTGACCCCGACTGTAGGTGTCACGGCAAAATAATCTCCAAATCAAATGGTCCAATGGATGCTGTGTAAAGTGATACGTCTCACTTGTTTTAATGAGCTGAAAAAGCGAAGAATGTACATCAAAGCATCGAAGACAATTGTGTGTTTTACTGTATTTGTTACCTAATGTATTCATTTTCACTTTTGATAGCCTAAAGTATCCTAAACATCCCTTGCTATTCATTTTCACCACGCGATTTGGGGAAGAACACCTTAGGTTTTAGTTTCCATACAGTAAGTTTAATCGAATAATAAGTTTCAGTACTTGAGAGTTATCATCTTTTGATGTCGGATGCCCTTTTATTCCTTTTCATAGTCATTCCTAACCACTTGTGTATTTAATGAACATCATATACATATATATTTAAGCGAACATGCTAGAATAGCCTAGCTTTCCTTTTTAGCAAGTGAGGTCATGACAAATAATGGATATAGCAAGAGTAGTCCATAAGGATTTGAAAGGAAATTGAGATTCATTAGAAGGTTCTCATGACAACTGGAGATCAATGAGTGATACGGAGCAATAGCTGAATTTAACTACCAACGACTGTGGCGATAAATACATCCTCAGAATAGAAAGTTCTGTAAGTCTTTCAAATCGATAATTTCCCCATTCGTTTCACTGAGAAAGCCCTGGCCGAAGCGCTGTCACACATTCTCACCGGATAACCATCTGGTATGCCACGAGGCGCATCTCTCTCTCAGCAACTAGCCAGATTGGTACTGGAGCTGTAAATAGTTCCCCAAAATCAATAGCTCATTAAGTGTTCGAAATTGGATGCTGACCACGTTGTTTTAAGAGGACTTGTTTAACTGAAGGCTTTCGGTCAGGCATCCGCACCAGATCACGTTAGGACTCAGCTTGGGAAACAGCTCCTACGTTCGATAGCCAGATTAGAGCAACCGCTTCTCCATATATTCATAATGTATCAAATATATCTTTCCAACCTCTTCGTATCTGACTTCTGATTTTAATCAAGTGGGTGACGCTCCAAATATACGTGTAACTGTTTAATAGTTGTCAAACTAGAATACTGGTCGTATTTTCAGTACAAACACATTTTGACATAAAGTATTGTAGCTGTAAATAATTCCCCAAAATCAATAGCTTTCTAAGTGTTCGACATTGGATGCTGACCACGTTGTTTAAGTGGACTTGTTTAAGACTTTCGGTCATGCATCCGTGCCAGATCACGTTGCAACTCGGCGTGGGACACAGCTCCTACGTTTCAATAGTCGGCTAAGAACGAACACCTCTCCATATATTGGTAACGTATCAAATATATCTTTTCTACCTCTTCTCGTCTGACTTCCGATTTCTATTTGGCCAAAAGAGGTTTCGATTATAGAAGGTGCTACTCGTAGTTAATTGTAAAGTTAGAATACTAGTCGTATCCTCAGTATACCTTCGGAATATGTCTTCGCGCTCCCTAATTCCTGGCTTCTGGCCTGACTGAGTTAAGGACCCTTCGATTACAAAACTGTTAAGGACGAAAGTGATTCCAAACCCTGAATATCCATGATATTTTTATGACAATGAAATAGCTACTTAGGTACTGCCTTGTGTATCATGTGTAAAAGGTTTGCAGAACTCTATCAAGACCTTCATAATCAGAAAGCAGAAACAAGGAAATAAAATCAAGTGTATAACAAAGTCCGTCTATTATGTTTACACTTTCTGACGAATTATTGAGACAGATATTTGACATAACTGTTAGTATCATGTTTTTTTTATTTTTTCTTAATTTCAGAGTAATCGAGAATGGTTTCCACATTCAGTTCTATAGATATAATCAAACCTGCCAAACTCCTACAAACTTAATACCAGAGTAACGCAGAAATCAATCTTGTTTGTTAGGGAGATAATACTAGTCTGGAGGAGATGAGCGAGGATTGGAACTGTGAAATAGTATTCGAGGGGGTGGCAAGAGTGCCTCGTGTAAGGATTAAGAACTTCAGAAGTGAATTATATGAATGACCGTAACCCTTCAATTAAAATAACTCCTGGAAGGTTTCCGAATCTGTATTATTATCGAACGCCTATAGACGTGTGAAATGGACTACTTGATTACTATTACAAGTTGGAGTTAAACAAGTTTCTTGTACTCCTTACCATTTATTAAGGGCAACCATGAAATTTAAGAGCTTCAAAATATTTCTCTGTTCTGGTCCTTACTCCGGAATAATGTTCATTTATATTTACAATCCCTCTTAGGACTGAATAGCTGGTTCCTCTGAAGTCTTAATTAGGTAAAATAATTGAAGGAGGTCAGATCCGTTTTTCAAATGAGCGGCTGAAAACTTGACCAAGAAGTGATTACAACATATTGAAATATATCACGTGAAATAGTCACGAGATATATGAAACTGTTTTTAATCTGATGAAACAATATCCGCTAAATTTGGAGCTTTCAATTCACGATCGTCGCACTTCTAATTTATGTGCCGTCGAAACGTTTCATTTCACATACCGTTAATTTCTCAATCAGCTATAAGCATATTTTCAATTTTTAAAATAGAACACATACGCTTAACGCATTTTCTACTCACAAAACAAATGTGTAAGCTAATTAGGGACAAATACGTAAAGGCAGGAAGCAACAAGGACACATGTATATGTTGTCATTCCAATCCATTCATTCCATGGTACATTCGCATTTTCAGAACACCGAATGACCCGTCTAAGTCGTTCACATTAACTTGTGAAGTAACAATGCACTTGCAGTATAAATAAATATTTTTTTTAAAGTCACCGTGATATTATAGTCCTATTCGAGTCATTAGTTGAGTCATTTTCAATCACAGACCTTGGAAAATTAGTATCATTTCGTCATGCCTTACTCCGAGATACTAAAAAACTCGACGGACACAGAACAACTCTCAACAACAGATTCCAAGCCCTACAAGATCTATTCAAGAGAGAAAAAACTACTATGTAGAACAACTGAGAAGGGAACAAAGAAGCACTAACTTCAATGTGTCAGGAGGTTCTCTATCGAAACCCTAGACAAGATTCAGGGAAGGAAGAACAAGGAGACAGTTAAAAACAGTCGAACAAAAACAGAGAAGGTCAAAACACAAGCTGAATATACAGAAGCAGACAAGCAACTGAAGCGGAGCACTAAAGCCGACAAGCAAAAAATATGTGGAATACCTAGCAACGATAGAAGAAAAAACAGCAAGAGAAGGAAATATCAGACAACTACATGAAACAACGAAAAAACTGACATGGAAATATAGTAAATCAGAGAAACCGGTCAAGGACAAAGAAGGAAAGCCAATCACTGAGACTCAAGAACAGAGGAACAGATGGGTGGAATACTTCGAGGAACTCTTAAATAGACCAGCTCCACTGAACACAACGGACGTCGAAGCAACACACACAGACCTCCCTATCAATGTCACTCCACCGATGACCGAAGAACTCAGGGTGGTTATTGGAAAAATTAAGAGCTGGAAAGCAGTGGGACCTAACAATATACCAGCTGAGGCGCCGAAATCAGATATAGAAGCAACTGTAATCATGTTTCACGTTCTATTGGGAGGAGGAACAAGTGCCGAGAGACTGGGAGGAAGGACACCTCATCAAAATACCGAAAGAGATCTGAGCAAATGTGGGAATTAGTGAGGCATCACACCGTTGTCAGTACGGGAAAAGTTTTCAACAGAGTGTTGCAGAACTGGATGAAAGACGCAGTAGATGTCCAACTTTGAGATCGACAGACTAGACTCCTCAAGGATTGGTCGTTCACAAACTCAATGGCGACATTACAGATCATCATTTAACAATCAGTTGAGTAAACATCATCACTAAATGTAAACTTAAATGACTATAAGAAAGTGTTTGACAGCGTGGATGAAAGAATTTGCTGAACCTTCTTCGACATTATGGTGTATCTGAGAATAAACAACTGAAAACTTAATAGGCCTGCATATCTCCTGAAAAGTAGGTGTGTTCAATCTAGTTGGACGAAAGGCCTGTAGCCTAAGTCTTACTTTTGAATCGGTGCTTGACATGAGTCTTCATGTTGTGGTGAAAGGTTACGTTGCCGAGTATATAGAACAGCTGAAATATTACGGTTTATAAGGGAGAAAGGAGTATGGAAATGATGCACTTTAGTCAGGGCCGTAAAGTCCAAGTGATTATTCTACTTTGGCTACACTTGATGGTGTCTATATCTCGTGATCTGTTAAACGTTTGATGACCTTTCATCTAATATGGTCAAGACAAAGATTACTGAACCGTTCGTCTGTGGCCCAGAGATATTTTGCTGATCCTGTAGACTAACCTCGTCCCTGGAGCTGAGCTTGACACATGTAGTGGTTGTATATGTCTAGGTAGTTAGCATCTAGCATCCGCACCACAGGTTAAGCATCATATTTTAAAAGAATCCATGTGGGTGGCTACTTATAGCCCTCGAGATAACATGTGACATATATAAACCCTAAGCACCTCGAATTCCATCGAACAATTCCTAATTTCAGCAACATTGCTGGTACGAATATTATTCCTAAATGCTGAGCATTCATACATTACAAGAATAATGTGTCCACTCTCTCCATTTTGCCGAACGTTGTAGTAACAGTTCCATCCATAACAGATTGCAATGTTTTGAGGAGACTTTGGTCCCAGACATAATAACAAGTGTTT